CTTGTAAGGTATCATTACAAAGCTTATAATCTACTGCGTGTGATCATCCAATTTGTAGAAATGTACCACTCTTGTATCTGAAACTAGAAATATAAAACATAACTCTGCGGCCTATTGTAATTATACAAAGTGTGGGCCATTAGGGATGGTTTGGAATCTTGATGACTCCTATTAACAAGGACCATTGTCTGCAGATGGCTGTGTTTACCTGTTAGTCTCCCTGTATATGTGTGTGCTGGCAAGTGAGTAATGAAGTCTTGCAGTGACATGTGATCATGTCACCTGAACTGCAATCCATCTTTAACCTGGTGCTTTTCCAGTGAGGGGGGGTGGAAACCCAGAGGGACAAAGAGTTCCCGCCTTATGCAAAAGATATATAAAGGGGTGGAAGAGAATAAGAGGGGAGAAGAGCCATCATGAAGAATCCCCTAGCTATCACCTGAGCTACAACAAGAGCTGTACCAGGGGAAAGAATTGTGCCCAGGCCTGGAAGATGTCCAGTCTGAGAAAAACTTTTACTGAAGCATCTCTGAGGGTGAGATTATGTCTAATCAAACTGAATAGAGATAGATTTGTGCATTTTATTTTATTTTGCTTGGTGACTTACTTTGTTCTGTCTGTTACTACTTGGAACCACTTAAATCCTACTGTCTGTATTTAATAAAATCACTTTCTGTTTAGTAATTTACTCAGAGTATGTATTAATACCTGGGGGAGCAAACAACTCTGCATATCTCTCTATCAGTGTTATAGAGGGTGAATAATTTGAGTTTGCCCTGCATAAGCTTTATGCAGAGTAAAACGGATTTATCTGGGTTTAGACCCCATTGGGAGTTGGGCATCTGAGTGCTAAAGACAAGCACACTTCTGTGAGCTGTTTTCAGGTAAACTTGCAGCTTTGGGGCAAGTGATTCAGACCCTGGGTCTGTGTTGGGGCAGACGGGAGTGTCTGGCTCAGCAAGACAGGGTGCTGGAGTCCTGAGCTGGCAGGGAAAACAGGAGCAGGTGTAGTCTTTGCACATCGGGTGGCAGCTCCCAAGGGGGTTTCTGTGATCCAACCCGTCACAGTGGCTGCAACACGTTTGATCAGCTCTCTGTAGCAGCTCACTTCTGTGTGCAGGGCTCTCGGTGCAGAAGCCTGGGGTGGGAAGGGGAAGTCCATGCACCCACTCGCCAGTCTGGATGGTGCATTAGATGGTACTTCTCCAATTACAACCCACCAAGCTCTAGCTGGGGACTTGTAGCGTTCTAGATGGTTGCATGATGGACTCAGGCTACCAGGGCATTGGCAAGAATGTGGTCACACCTGGGTCTACACCAGGGGTGGGCAAACTTTTTTGGCCGAGGGCCACATTGGGGTGGGGAAATGGTATGCAGGGCCGGGGCAGGGGTGCATGAGGGAGTGTGGGGTGTGGGACGGGGTGCGGAGTGCAGGAAGGGGCTCAGGGCAGGGGTGCAGAAGGGGTGTGGGGTGTAGGAGGGGGCTCAGGGAAAGGAGTTGGGGTGAAGGGTGCGACAGGGGGCTCAGGGCAGGGGGTTTGGAGCAGGGGGCAGGGGGGGTTCGGGCTCCGGGGGGGGGGGCAGCGGCACACACACCGGGGCCAGGGCAGGCTCCCTGCATGCCTGCCCTGTTCCCAGCCCCGCGTCGCTCCAGGACCATAGCACAAGCCCGAGTCTGTAGTCCTGGGCTCTGAGACTCGCTGCCGTGGGTGTTTTGCAGTGTAGATGTACCCTGGGTTATTACTGAGCGCCTGGAACCTGCCCACTTTGCAGTGATGATGCAGGTGAAATCATCTCGGAACTGTTAGCGATTATCTTTAAGAACTCCTGGAAGGTGGGTGAGGTCCCATAGGAATGGAGAAGGGCAAACATAGGACCTACCGTTAAAAAGGGAAAGAGAGAGGAACCAGGGAATTAGAGACCAGTCAGTCTAACTTCGATCCCTGGAAAGGGACTAGAACAAATGATTAAACAATCAGTGTGTAAGCCCCTAGCCTAGAGGGTAACCGGGTAATAAGTAAGAGTCGACACAGATTCATCAAGAAAAAAATCCTACTAAACCAACCTAATTTCCTTCTTTTAACAGGGTCACTGACCTAGTGGAGGAGCAGGAGACGTGATGTATCTTGATTTTATTACAGCCTTTGACCTAGTCCCACGTGACATTCTCACAAGCAAACTGAGGAACGTGGTCTAGATGAAATTACTGTAAGGTGGGTGCACAACTGGTGGAAAGTCTGTGCTCAGAGTAGTTATCAGTGGTTCGCTGTCCAGCTGAGAGGATGTATCTAGTAGGGTTTAGCAGGGGTCAGTTGTAGGTCAGGTGCTATTCATTATTTTCATTAATTACCTGGATAATGGAGTGGAGCGAATGCTGATAAAATGGGAGGCTGATACCAAGCTGGGAGGGGTTGCAAGCACTTTGGAGGACAAGATTAGAATTCAAAATGACCTTGATAAAATGGAGAATTGGTCTGAAATCGGCAAGATGAAATTCAATAAGGACAAGTGCAAAGTACTACACGTAAGAAGGGAAAAAATAAATTAACAACCACAAACCGGGGAATAACTGGCCAGGTGGTCGTAGTGGGGAAAGGGATCTGGGGGTTCTAGTGGATCAAAAACTTGAATGTGAGACAACAATGTGATGCAGTTTCAAAAAAGACTTGAACATCATTCTGGGGTCCATGAACACGAGTGCCGTGTGGAAGACAGAGGAGGTCATTGTCCAGCTCGGTTCGGTGCTGGTGAGACCTCATCTGGGGCACTGTGCTCAATTCTGGACATTAAGAAAGATGTGGCCAATTTGGGAGAGTTCAGAGGAGAGCAACAAAAGTGATAAAAGGTTTAGAAAACCCGACTTATGGGGAAAGGATGAAAGGATTGGATGTGTGTAGTCTTGAGAAGAGAAGGCTGAGGGGGGACCTGATAACAGCCCTTAACGTATTTGCAGGCTGTTATCAAGAGGACTGTGACCAACTGTTCTTCATGGCCACTGATGGCAGGACAAGAAGTAAGGGGCTGAATCTGCAGCAAGGGAGATTCAGGTGAGATATTAGGGGGAAAAAAATAACTCAGAGGAGAGTGAAGCTCTGGAACAGGCTTCCAGGGGAGGTTGTGGAATCCCCGTCACTGGGGGTGTTTAAGACCAGGTTGGACAAACACTTGTCAGGGACGGTCTAGGTTTACTTGGTCGTGCTCAGCGCAGGGGGCTGGACTTGATGACCTGTGAGGTCCCTTCCCGCCCGACATTTTTCAGATCCTACGTTTGATGAACTGGTTCTTTGAGGAGCTCAGGGGCAATTTGCCTCCTCGGATATTTGCTTTTAAGCCTTGTCAATCCGAAATATTTGTTGATTGAAAATGGGGTCAGCCCCGGCTCTGGCTGCCGTTCCACCCTGGCTCAGTAAATGCGCATCAACGTAACAATGGCTCCAAAGCTAAAAGCCTCCAAGGCCCATCGACGTGAGAGACTCAAGTTCAATTAAAGGTCTCGCACAGGGCGGGGGACTTGCCCAAGGTCACCCAGCGAAGCAGTGGCAAAGCTGTGAACAGAATTGAGCTCTCCTGAGTCCCAGCGTGGTACCCTGGCTACTAGACCATCCTGTCCCATAGGAGTCCATGGGTGCTGAAGTAGATAGAAACAGGAAGGAGGCATCCTGTCTGCACCAGCCAGAATGGAGGGGGAGCTGCGAAGGAGGCTGCTCAACCCAAGCCAGGGAGAGGAGGATGGGCCTTGCCTCTGCTTTTAGCTCCCCTTTCCTTTAACCCCTGGAGTTCTGACAGGAAGAAGGGACAACGGTAGATGTGGGGGGTGTCAGCACAGGGATCAGAGCCCAGGCAGTGGGGGTCCAAGGCCTAAAGCCACCAGAGGCTCTCCTTTTTTTCAGGGCTGCTCCGGGGATGTTAGTGCAAGTTAGAGCAGCCCCAGGGTTACTCTAATTTGCAGCAGCCTTGCAGAGTCATGCTCACTCCTAGCCCTAGCTGCACCCCCAGCAGGCCTCTATGCTGGGGGCTGTGTAGGAGGGGGGCACAGGGCTTCTGAGCAAGTCCAGCAGCATAAGGGGCTCAAGGGGGGTGGGGAGAGAATCCACCACACTGTCATCGCTCCTCGTCCTGGAGGGGTGGTTTAGCCTTCCCCAAGCTCACGTCTGACTCTCACAATCAAACACCTTCCGCAGGGCTTGTCTACATGGGGAAATGGACTGGAATAGCTCCCGTGGGCCGAGCTGTTCCGGAATAGCTCCCGCTGTTCCGGAATAGCTCCCCTTGTTCCAGAAGTGGATGAAGCTTAACCAGAATGAGGTGATCTTATTTCAGAATGAGAGCGCCCGCCCTGGAGTTATTCCAGAATAGCACTGGCCCTTTAACGTCTCTCCCTGTCTTACTCTGGAATCACTTCTTCACGTAGCCCAGGCCTCAGACGGGAGCCCAGCAACTGCTGTCACGTGGGTAACGCTGCTCTGGGGATCACAGGCCTTTTCCTGTTTGCTGCCTGCAGAGAAAGCCGGGCTAAATAAGCACCGCGGCTGGAGAGGCCATGCTGGGCAGCCTCAGGGAAGTCCCTGGCATGGAGCAGACAAAAGCAGAACCAAAAGAAGGAAGCTGAGGCTGGGAAAGTCAGGCTGCAGAAACAGTACCTGTTTTCACAGGTGAATCAATCATTGGGACAGCTCGCCAAGGCCCAGGTGGTTCCCATGGCAGGCAAAACCAGTAAACCGAGATTAGCTATCTTCCTGAAACACGCTCTGTTTAACATGTAACTGTTCTGGATGCTGGACGCGCTGCGGGGGAGGGTCTCTGGCCTGTGGTAGATGAGATGATTTTAACAGGCCCTGCTGGCCTTTGACCTGGGGAAAGAACCTGATTTTCAGCGTCCCTGATACTCGGCCGTTTCTGCAAATTTGGCCCTTTTCAATGACTGACTGTCGTCCGCGCTGCAGGCACGGCTAATGCTGCAGCGTTGTTCCCTCTCACAGAGCAGCGTGTTCGGTCAGTGTGTGATTCGTAAGGCCCTGGGCTCGGTTCAGTGGTGAAGGCGCTCGGCCAGGTTCATTGTTGACAAACCGCGGTGCTAGTGTCCCGTAGGAGCCACAAGGACACTAACACATGTATACCCGGGACAATGGTACCGGCTCAGTCAGCGCACCAGGGTCCTGTCCCTAGATCAGTGTAAAGTCACCCCTCCTCTGGCATCTCCTCTTTTGGCATTGATACAAACAAGTTACATGTGACGCTTCAGACGTTTAGTTACCGCCCTTGGCCTTGTACCTTCTAGTTCCACCAAAACATCCTTATCTGTTATTCTGTCATCCCCTCCTTGTCGTACGAGGGGTCAGTGTGTTCCTGCACCATCTCTCGGGAATGTGCTGACGTGTTCTCTTGAGGGATCTGCGTGTTTTTGTACCAGCCTCTCCGCTCAGGATATGCTCACTTGGTGTGAGCTAAAACGTATTTTGCAGAGGTCAGTTATGCCAAGAGGTTAGTTGTGCCAAGGACTCCAGCCAGGCCCATGCTAATCAGAACAAAAACCACGGCCATGCTGTAGTCTAGTGCCTGGAGCACCAGAGTGGGTGACCGAAGACCTGGGTTCTAATCCTGGTTCTGCCACTAAACTGTGGTGTGACTCTGAGCAAGTCCCCTCTCTGCACTGTTTCCCCTCCCACCCTTTGGTTAGATTGTGAGCTCTTTGGGTAAGGGACTGTCTGCATAACTGGGCCCTGATCTCGCTAGGGTAGTGACTGTCACTGTGTGTCTGTGCAGCGCCTGGCACAACAGGGCCCTGATCTCAGCTGGGGCAGGGACTGTCTCTCCCTGTGTCTGGGCAGCACCCGGCACAATGGAGCTCCAGTCTTGGTTGGTGCCCCGTGCCACTTCTGCAAGAGAAGTAGCTAATAATATTAACTGTAGGTGTGTTGGCACCAAGTACATGGGAGATTCTCAGAAGCTACGGTGATGAGATAGAACTTGCAGCACTAAGGGCTGGAATGGGGGAGACAGACAAGAGCCATCTGCATTCCCAAGTGTCTTTGCAAAGTCTCACTCGCCCTGCCCAGCAGCCCGCACCACTGAAGCCGAGGTGGAAAGGAAATGCCCCGTGTCCCCTGAGGTAAAGTCCTGGTGCCAGAGGAGATCACATTCTTTAATGCCTTAAAAGTAGCCATGTGGTTGGTGTAAGTGAAGGTTGGGAATTTGGTGGCCCAGAGACCAGTAGCTGGAGCAGGAGAATGTGCTACACGGGGGACGGGGACTGAAAATTCAGCAGCGCTGGCTCATTGCTCTTACTTACTAAACCCTTGTGTGGGGAACCCTGTGCACCCCAGTACATTAAGGGCCCCTTTATCAGCCAGGAGATCTCTCTGATCACTGGGATGTGTCCTGAACCCCACTAAACTGTTTGTTAACATAAAGACTTTCCTCATTGTCTATGAGCTGGAAGTGGGGACAGTTAGCGCCACAACATAGAACTTGAGGTGGCAGCAGAAGTAGGCTGTTATCCGTTATGCGAATGGACCAATAGAGGGGTACAAGAGTCTCCCTTTGCAATGCATGACACTGAATGTATTGAAAAGGCAGGTTACTATCTCAGCCTGGGGGAGCAGGAGTGATAATGAACAAGCAACTCAACATGAGCTCCCAGTGCGATGCCGTGGCAAAAATCACAAACGCAATCCGTGAATGTGTAAACGGGAGCTGTGAGCAGGGGAAGGCGGGTGATTTAACCTCTGTGTACGGCACTGGTGAGACTGATACTGGACTAGTATTTCTACTTCTTGTGTCTGTTTTAAAAAGGATGTTGAAAAATCAGAGAGGGGCGGAGAAGATCCACGAAAATGATTGCCGGCTGGAGAAAAGGCCTCATGGTGAGAGATTTAACGAGCTCCGTCTGTTTAGTTTCTTAAACAGAAGATTGAGAGGTCTTGGACCTGCCCTGGGAGGAAATACCAAGTGCTAAATGGCCCTTTAAGCTAACAGAGAAAGGCAGGACAAGGACCAATGGCTGCAAACTGAAACCAGACAAATTCAAATGAGACATAATGCACAGGTTTTCTAACGGTGAGTGATTAACTCTGGGACCAAATTCCCTAGGGAAGCGCTGGATTCTCCACTACTTAATGTCTTCGGGCTAGGGCTATCAAGTGATTAAAAAAACTAATCGCGATTAATCACGCTGTTAAACAGTAATAGAATACCATTTATTTAAATATTTTTGAATGTTTTCTACATTTTCAAATGTATTGATTTCAATTGCAACACAGAATACAAAGTGTACAGTGCTCACTTTATCTTTGATTACAAATATTTGCACTGTAAAAAAACAAAAGAAATAGTATTTTTCAATTCACCTCATACAAGTACGGTAGTGCAATCTCTTTATCATGAAAGTTGAACTTGCAAATGTAGAATTATGTACAAAAAATAACTGCATTCAGAACTAAAACAATGTAAAACTTTAGAGCCTACAAGTTCACTCAGTCCTACTTCTTGTTCAGCCAATTGCTCAGACAAACAAGTTTGGTTGCAGTTTGCAGGAGATAATCATAGAACTGGAAGGGACCGCAAGAGGTCGTCTAGTCCAGTCCCCTGCACTCAAAGCAGGACTAAGTATTATCTAGATCATCCCTGATAGGTGTTTGTCCAACCTGCTCTTAAAAATCCCCAATGATGGAGATTCCACAATCTCCCTAGGCAATTTATTCCAGTGCTTCACCACCCTGACAGTTAGGAAGTTCTCCCTGATGTCCAACCTAAACCTGCCTTGCTGCAGTTTAAGCCCATTGCTTCTTGTCCTATCCTCAGAGGTTAAGAAGAACCATTTTTCTCCCTTCTCATTGTAACAACCTTTTATGTACTTGAAAACCATTATCATGTCCCCTCTGTCTTCTCTTCTCCAGATTAAACAAACCCAGTTCTTTCAATCTTCCCTCATAGGTCATGTTTTCTAGACCTTTAATCATTTTTGTTGCTCTTCTCTGGACTTTCTCCAATTTGTCCACATCTTTCCTGAAATGTGGCACGCAGAACTGGACACAATACTCCAGCTGAGGCCTAATCAGCGCAGAGTAGAGCGGAAGAATGACTTCTCGTGTCTTGCTTACAACACTCCTGCTAATACATCCCAGAATGATGTTTGGTTTTTTTTTTTTTTTTGCAACAGCGTTACACTGTTGACTCCTATCTATCTTGTGATCCACTATGACCCCCAGATCCCTTTCCACAGTACTCCTTCCTAGGCAGTCATTTCCCATTCTGTATGTGTGCAACTGATTGTTCTTTCCCAAGTGGATACTTTGCATTTGTCCTTATTGAATTTCCTCCTATTTACTTCAGACCATTTCTCCAGTTTGTCCAGATCATTTTGAATTTTCATCGTGTCATCCAAGACACTTGCAACCCCTCCCAGCTTGGTATTGTCCGCAAACTTTATAAGTGTGCTCTCTATGCCATTATCTACATCATTGATGAAGATATTGAACAGAACCGGACCCAGAACTGATCCCTGCGGGATTCCTTCCAGCATGACTGAACAACTGATAACTCCTCTCTGGGAACGATTTTCCAACCAGTTATGAACCCACCTTATAGTAGCTCCATCTAAGTTGTATTTCCCTAGTTTGTTTATGAGAAGGACGTGCAAAACCATATCAAAAGCCTTAATAAAGTCTAGATATACTACATCTACCACTTCCTTTCCCCCCCCCCCCCCATCCACAAGGCTTGTTACCCCGTCAAAGAAAGCTATCTGGTTGGTTTGACACGATTTGTTCTTGAC